TCGAAAAGCACTTTGCAATGCCTTTATTAAAAGAAAGACCGAACACAATTATTCCATATATGACAAAAAGTTGGGGAGAGAAAAATCGGTTACATTACAAAACAACTTCATGAAAATGGTGCTCCGTTACAATTAAATGTAAGCATGTATGCATACAAATTGATGTGTGTATATAGTGGTGAATGAGACGTTTGCTGTAAAAATTGGCTCTGCCAAGTAATAAGAGCAAGCAATTACAGTCAATGTTGTACTAACTGCCTCATGGCCATATATTTTAGATTTCTGCAGTATGTTTTGCTACAATTTAAAATGTCATACTTAAAAATGTGATAATAAAACCAGTCAAAAAGTAAAATAGCATCATAATACAAATTGCCAAATTTTTGCACGAAAATATGGAAGGGCGGAGGGCAGAGGAGGAGGGATCAGGGGGGGGGGGAGGGAAATAACAACATGTAAAACTATTAATTATCCTCTGTTGTATTCACCCTGCACATATTTAAAAATGCTAAACATATACTGAGATCAAATGATAACCAGGCAGTGAATCAACTTGTTAAACAAATGGACACATTTCTCGAACATACCCTCTGTGGCATCTTACTTCTTGAACAAGAGCTAATCGGGGGATGCTGAGTCCAACAAATTAAACTAAAGCACTTTCCCTCAATAAAACAGAGTATGATAATGTTGCATTTGGCACCCACGTGGATGTATAATTAATACTGTTATTTCAAAATCAATTTTCAAACAGCTTTGCTATGTATGCCTCACGAATGAACTTAAATAAATATGTAACTTGATAATTTTGTTGCCAATTAATATATTCGCCTTGGGATTTGCTTTTAATTAAACATGAATTATTACGTCAAAATTCTTTAAGCGTAATGTACAAAAAAGGTAACATTCAATTAATGGTAGATAATTAATATACAGTCGTGGGCCTTTTGGTTTGGGAATTTCTGATTTAATATTTCTTGATGGATTGTTCTTCTTGTTTTGTAAGATTATGTTTAATTTTCAGCACCCAAGTCAAACTCATACCAGCACAAGATAGCCTTTTAGAAAGATGTTGTATTTGCGATGAGCAGACATGCAGGTGCAAATGGGATTGATACATCACAGGATCATGATAGTTGGCATGGCAGTGACTTTGGGAGTTTCATCCAGTAGTGGATTGACTATGGATGATAATGGTTTTTACAGCCTTTTGGTTATTTGTGACTAGCTTTACGACCCGGCTTCGCCCGGGACTTGGATTATTGTCTTGGGTTAATACACGGCCAACGCGGAGTGTTGGGGGGGGGGGGTGCGTGACGTCAGCAGGCACACTGTGTGACGCTGCCGGATGCGGGTGACATCACAGATGTGACGTCACCACTCACTTGCCGTGCAAAATATATCCATTATTGCGCCCCCCCCCCCCCCCAAATACAAAAGTCTATTTTTATACTTTTTGCCTTGTGTACAGTCTGGAAGCTACCCACATGCCAAATTTCAAGTTTGTTGCATGTTGGGAAGTATGCTAAACATTTCGAACAGACACACATATTCACAAATTTCCCTTTGATATATAGATGAACTACTGTACAGGGTTTCATCTTCTTGGTTCTTTCGGTAAAGTCACGTAGAAGACAGCGTCTTCCCGACAGACCTGTTCTTCACCTGAGGACGGCTGCTTGCGTTGTGGTCTAAACGTCGTGAGAATGATTTTATTATGTTTTATTTTATTATTTTATTATTTCCCTTCTACGTGACTTTACCGAAAGAACCAAGAAGATGAATCTCTGCAGTCACGAAAGCTTTAAATCGAAATACTGTACAGGGTGTTTATAAAAAAGGACCCGATTTGAAATCGCTATATCTCTGCAACCACGAACCGCCCATGAATGAAACTCTTACCACTTGAAAGGGCGGGGCATAGAGAGGGCGGGGCATAGAGTTTCAACTGATTACCGCTAGATGCCTCTCCCAGCGCACAAACAGCCCCTAGCCTCAGTCATTCGCAAGATGGTGACCCCACAACACAAGGGGCGTTTTGCGTTCTGCAGTTCAGCAAGACTGAATCCGTAATTGCGGTGCAGCGTGCGTTTCAACGGCGTTTTGGCATTGATCCGCCAATGTCAAAGAGCATTCGTCGTTGGTACCGACAATTTGAGGAAACAGGCTGTTATGTAAGGGGAAGAACACAGGGTGACCACACACCTCAGAGGAAAACGTGAGAAGAGAGGCGTTTGGGATGAATTCAACTATCATCTCGATGTTGTCCGTACAGCAGGTGGAGGGCACATAGAACATTTATAAAATGGTTTGTAAAACTTGCTAACACATTAAACCCTTTGTAACTTTTTGTGTAATTGTAACATGTTGCCATCGTGAAATATGCTGCTTTGAAATTGGGTCCTTCATTTTAAAACACCCTGTATAACTTGTAAACACTTTCGTGTGTATGGTAAGCAGTTGTAAATATTCCTGGTCTTGTATGAATGTACATGGGGAATATAATCTTACAATGCTGTATTTCACCATGAGCCATGGTTAATCCACTGCTGGATGAAAGTCTGTCCAATCCGCTGGAAGCTCTCACGATTATACGGTGTATTGTACGTACTTTTCATAAATTATCTACTGTACCATTGAAACTTGCCAAAACTGCAAATTTAACAGTGAGCAGATTTAAGGCAACAAAATTGGTAAATGTGCTTGCAATGGCCAAGCGTGTGATTTGTTTAGAGGCCCATGTTAGCACAAGTCCTGCCCGTCTCGTATTTGCTTTAGCACAATAGAAATAATCATGCCCCGTGGCAATGTTTCTACTGTGTCTCTTTGCTGTGCAGCCGACCATCTACATAACCACCCGCCATACTCAGAGATTTCTACAACTCTCCGACATTTTGCATTAATCCCAGGAACACGCCAAAATTGGCAATAACTGGGCCGTGTACTCTATTTAACTGCAATCAAAATATGGTTACGAGCAAGCTACAAATGGTGTGGATTAACAAGATATAAGGATATTATGTATATACGTATGTTGAACATCTTTCACACCGTACATAGCCAACCGTGTTGATCAGAGGTGCAGCAATGCAGTGCACTGTGCCAATTGCAATAAATGCGTTGATATGGGGGGACGTATTGCAGATCCTGTTATCTGCGGTGCACCGCAGACGATAGTTCCATGATCCATAAAAGAAAATTCGTGCCAACTGAGATCATGGGAGGAAACAGTTGCAATTGTATGAATCCGTGACAAATTTGCAAATTGCAGGTGAATCGCGGGTACGTGACTCGCAGATAAATGAATCCGCAATAAATTCATAGTTTACGAGATTCTACATTATTCTAAGACCCAAACGATAACCGAGTCTAAAAACATGCAGAATTATTTTCCACTTAACAATTCATATGAACACAGCTCAGCGAATCTGTGCTGATGCAAAATGAAAGCAAATCGTGAAATAAAAAATAAATAAAACCATGCCCCCATTCGTTGCTCTCACGGATCGTGGTTTGGCGTTTATAAAAGTGGTTTGAATCTGCCACGGTGTGCCACAAAATACAGAAGGAGTAACGACCTGCCAATAACACGCGAATTACAGGAATTTGAAGATTACTGGAACGTGGACAATTGGAGCCTGCTGTAAATAGTACCCAATGATGTAAATTTTAGTGCAAATCCATAAATAGTGCAATATAACTTTTCTATTAAAACATAAATATTGTATTGCAGAAGTACCATGTCTAATGTCTTAGAAGTTACAATTGGCATTTTAACACTAATGCTGGTTTGTATTTGTGCACATTAACAGGTTTCCCAGAGGTGAAACATATTACGCATTCTAAACTTGTTAGACTTGATTCATTGTCCTTCTAGATATCTCTGCTACGTTCTTGACAAATCAAAAATGTAACATAATGCCTGAACCATCACCAACACAGTGGGTGGCGAATAAAAATAGTTATAAATAGAAACATTTTCGTCTAGCCTTAACTCGACTCTCAGGATTGCAAATTAGAACAGCAATTAACAATTAGGTGGGAAATTCAGACACAAATGTATTATTCACTATCAACGTCTGGAATAGCATTGAATAATTATGGGGTACCATGCCGAAAGTAAGGATTTCTTAAATATATTATTGTTACTCTATGTACTTAGACCGGCTGCAAATGCAATGTTGAAAATTGCTTTCTGCAGTATGAACTCAAGTGGCTGATCTTGCATACACCTAAATTAACCTCCAGTGACCACGATGCAATCAGCCTTCCAAAAAACACATCGGTAATTGGCTTTAAGGAAAGTAGTTTGGATTAATGTATTCAGGCATTGACACATGTAGACCTGGCTATACACAGGCAGATCATTATCCCAATTCGAAAGTAAATGCATGAATAGCCCTATATTGTCTGAACGTTGATACAGTACGCTACTGTGCAAATTCAGAAGGCAGTCCTGCAGAGAGACCACACAGACTTTGGAATTAATCCAAAAAGGAGTCATCCTTCGTACCAAAATTTGATATCTCCATCTCTTGGAGAGCAGGACCACAGGTTAAGCTGACAAGGCATAATTAATCATATAATTATTAAAATCTCCCACCGCACTTCCACGCCCCAATGGAATTGAATGACTTTCCAAAAAATAATTTGTGTCACTTTTCTACCATCTCATTTGTAGTGTTATTGTTCATTTTGTCTCGTTTATACAATGTTGTTCATGCCATTAGCCTACATGTAACATTAACAGAGCAAATTAACATGTTCTTGAATGATTGATACTCATGCACGGTTCGGTGCATCTCCTGTGAATGTAGGATTCAGTTTTAATTGCCAAATCGGTGCATCATTACAGGTCTCTTAATAACTGAAACTGATAATAGCAACTGCTGGGCATTGATTGTAGACACTGAATTATGAAGCGCAAAACAAGAGTAGTGTTTATTTAGATGTCGCACTTACATATTCCGTGTAAGGACTGTGAGTGGTGTTGCACTGACCACGGATTTTTATCTTTGGACACATGGGGCCCCCATGCTGAGAGATGAGGAACTGTTGAGCCGATGTGAAATTAATGTTGATATAGCGACGACGTCTCACGGCCATAAAATGCTTTACAAAAAACACCTGCGGGAAAAAAAAGATCAGAATCACAATATGTATTTATACTGGAGGAATCTGATGAGCTATAAAGCTCCTTTTCCACTGATGTCCAGTAGTTTTCACAGATGTACATAGCAATACAAAAATTCGACTTGATTTGATCTTCAACACACATGCTAAAACTCTTAATTTTTTATAGAAAAAACCCGATATGCACTAATATCGTGTTTTGTAGTGTTTGTTGATGTAACTTGCTGACCTGCACCAGCTTTCCCCCTCTTTTTTAAATCCTTTATATTAAGTTCACTTGCGTGCTTGCTTGCACGCTTACGACTGTGCAAATCTTTCGGTCGTTTTTTAACCCACTTCCCGTGATCCAATCGAGCTGACATTTTGCACACAGACTCGTTGTGCGTGACAATTTATTTTCGTGAATTTTTTTTTATATTTAATTACCAATTGCTTAATGGTGGCAGGCAATCATCTGACCCATAGGTGGCAGCCATCTCAAGCCAGAGGACGAGAGGACTTTAACCACCCCGATGCCACGCATATAAAGGATTTATAGTGAAAAACTTAGTTTTTACGGGTTAATTTTTTCTTCCTGATGACGAACGCTTGTGTTGCGATCGAAACGTCGTAGTTTTATTTTATTATTTTTTGTTATGTATTTGAACCTATCTACGTGACTTTACCGAAAGACCCGAAGAATGTGAAAAAGAGCTACATAACTCATCGAATTCCTACAGGATAAATAAACATTCTGGTCCTTTATTTTAGGTATTCATGTGCTCGAGAAAATGTTTGTTACAAAATAGTGGATGGGATCAGAAAGACATTTTAAAGTTCTTAATACACATCATCCGTTTAGTTTTTTTAAGCCAACAATTTGTCGTAAATACCATTAAATACCGAAATTGTATATAGTAATATATTTCAATGTCATTGTATTCATACATAATTTTCAAAATGACAATTGCAGAAACTTCTTAATCAGCTAACACACAAAATAGATTACTTTATTAAAAACCCATAACGGTTATTCAATCACTCACAAATGGTTCATCTCTCGTCTACATTATTTTACCATTACATCATTTTCATATCCACCCCAATCTTACATTACATATGTAATGTAAGATTGCAGCATGGGGGTCATGCTTGAATATTTATATCATCATGCTGGCTTTCCACACGCCCCTCCCCCCCCCCCATATCGTTATGAATAAAATTTCATTTATCAATCTGTGTACCTCAGGCTTACTCAATGCCTACAAATACAATTAGCCAAGTTGACTGTATGACCATATTTCCAAAAGGTAATTGCAGTAATAAATCACGTATAAAACGCGATGCGATTTCCGTGCAACAGCATGTTCACGTAAACTAATACTTTACGTTCTTCATTAAAATGTGTCCTAAACCAAAACACTGATTGGTATCAAAAATGCGAATGTCTTGAAAATTATGCAGACAAACAAAGCAATTTACAAGATATCGCACAAATATAGTTTTTTTTTATTGTACATTAAATTAATAAAACATACTTGAAATATATATTTTCATTCAACCATTGCATTTCACCGTTATGCTAAACCGTACATTGTATTTTGCACGTGTATCTCGGAACTTATCTGCATCTGCATATATATTAAAGGCAAAGTTGTGAATATGTGTGTCTGTTCAAAATGTTTAGCGTACTTCCCGACATGCAACAAATTGGAAATTTGCCATGTGGGTACTTTCCAGACTGTACACCATGCAAAAAATATAAAAATACACTTTTGTGTTTTTTTTGGGGGGGGGGCAGCTCAATAATGCATATATTTTTGCACGGCAAGTGAGCTGTGACGTCAAATCTGTCACGTGACCCACGCACGTGGAAGCGTAACGCATTGTCGTGTCGTGGTTCGCGCGCTGCGCTACGAACCCGGCAACCCGAGTTCGATTCCCGCTTACGGCCACCACCGGTGACGATTATTTGAACCGTTCCTGGGCCTCCCCTAGGTCGACGCAGCCTTAAACGAGTAACTGCTGTGGTGTGTGAACATCGCCACTGGGGAGACAAAGGCGGCCGGGCGTGGTTGATCCAAGTCTCGGGCGAAGCCGGGTAGTACACCTAGTACTGGTAGGAACGAAGTGGACCAGACCACCAATAGATTAATGTGTCCGTCCGTCCATCCGACCGTCCGTCCGTCCGTGTATCAACATCGCCCCCTACTGCAAACACTTGGCATGACTCTGTCCAACAAGATGGCCACCCGCTCCCCCTGCGATCTGTGAATTAAACAAGATGGCCGTCGCTTCCGGCGCATCACGGCAAAACTTTAAACTTCGCTTCAAAATTACTTTACTGAAACGCAGCACGTTTATTTAAAAAAAATACTTTACTGAAACGCAGCACGTTTTTTTAACACAGAGACAAGAAACATTTATTAACACAGAGACGAGATACATTTAATCGCCTCATTTGTGCACGAAAAGCACGGCGCGAGGCCTAGTGCGGCAGGCTTCGCGAGGCCTAGTGCGGCAGGCTTATTAACACAGAGATGAAACGCAGCACGTTTATGTAAAAAAAATTACTTTACTGAAACGCAGCACGTTTTTTTTAACACAGAGACAAGAAACATTTATTAACACAGAGACGAGATACATTTAATCGCCTTATTTGTGCACGAAAACACGGCGCGAGGCCTAGTGCGGCAGGCTTCGCGAGGCCTAGTGCGGCAGGCTTATTAACACAGAGATGAAACGCAGCACGTTTATTAAAAAAAAAATTACTTTACTGAAACGCAGCACGTTTTTTTAACACAGACAAGAAACATTTATTAACACAGAGACGAGATACATTTAATCGCCTTATTTGTGCACGAAAAGCACGGCGCGAGGCCTAGTACGGCAGGCTTCGCGAGGCCTAGTGCGGCAGGCTTCGCGAGGCCTAGTGCAGAAGGTGGTGGTGGTGGGGGGTGGTGGAGGGTGGTGTTGAGGGTGGTGTTGGGGGGTCTTTAAATCTCACAGCGTTACTTGTCAAAACAAACACTTTTAATTAAAGTTACACCAGAATACAGTATTTTTTTCTTTAACTCCTCTATACCTGGTCGATATCCCTGTACCGGTACTAAGTATTATTCCTACCAGCCCACCCCGCAGGGTCCTGTTTTAAATATATAACAATATGAGAGAAAACATTCACATTTTTTTGCCGTTTCAATTTTAAGTGATCATATTCGTTACACGTGTATTTAATTGCATGCCTTCTTGCACACATTTCTTTATCACTTTATATTTCTTCCTGCACATTCGGCACCTTGTATTTGACCTCGGTCTCCGTAAAAAAAAAAACCTAAACAAAAGGAATAAATGTTTTCTCTCAATAGACTCTCACAAGGCGAACGAGGTTATTGACTGAGTGATTGATTTGTACTGTCCTAATACAAAAACACTTGCTTTATAAAAGCTAATAAAGTTGATTAGGATTATCCATCGACTTCACCTTAAATTTAAAGGTTACCGTGAGGTGGCAGATGCTGTGGTTGACGATAATAAAAATATATTAGTGTCACATGTGCTTTTTGAAGCTGAATGTTTTCCTCGAAGCCGTTTTTTAAAAGACATTGAATACAGATTAGCCTCAATGCTTTAACGGTGTTGGCGAAGGTTGCCATCTTCTGGCCATTTTATGATTTTTTATCAAGATATCGATTTGCAGATGGGACAAGGGTAACCTATATGAACGATAAAATACATCACACAAGCATTGAATATCGTTTTCCACTTGGAATTTGTAGGTTCGAAGTTATTTTATCAACTGAAGCGTGATATTAGTCATGCAGTGGTAGGAAAGAAGCCACGTGTCGCCATTTCAATATGGTAACTGACTTTCCAAAGATATTTAAATAGCCTTTTGCGCAATTGTGTGCCTTTTCTTCAATGTGCACGCAGAACATCTAGTCTGCTCTTGTCGTGAGGGAAGATGAGAGCTTACAGAAAAAAATAAGTACCTATGCCACGGAGAAAAAAATATATCTTTTGCATGCAACGGTTGAATATTTCTAGAAAAATGGCAGCTTAATCTGTATTGCTACCGTTTCGGCGAAACTGTTTCCATATTGATGGAGGGAATTAGGAGAAGCTGATCAGGAAGCAATGACGATGTTCGGATGGAAAGTTAGCTCCGTGCCAAACTCTTCTCTGCCTTCCCCCTGAGATAAACAAACATATAGGTTACATGTGCAATATTGATTCTGGTACGATGGGATTATCCAAGTCCTGCCGCCTTACTCCTTTAAATGTGGCCTTCATTAACGTAATTTGTGCGAGGTTCTATTTAAAAAAATTATGCCACGTCGTAAAATGTGAGTTGCTTAAAGAAATGAACATTGAACCATAGCTGCAAACCTTTGGACTCCATTAAACCAAAACTGAAATGGCAAATAGCATGAAATGGAAATTACAGCACTTTATAGCACCACACAACTAAGAAAACATTACCACAGCATTTACACATCCTTCGAAATTATTTTTTTTTGTTTTTCTTGCTAATGAGCACCATATGCAACATTCTACATTCAATTGTGGAAAACCTGAAAAAAATATCCCGCCAAATTGCTCAGCGCGAGAGTGAACGACCCGCAATCAAAACGTGCGAGTTAAAATCCTGGTTGGGTGTTGCTCAGTCCTTCATCCCTCTGGGGTTGATATAATAGGGCTCACTCTGTGGGCAAGTCAAGAGTGGTTGTTATAGGAATACATTTGCAACCCTTGTCAGTGGAATGAGGAATTTGCACGAATGGCTCAGAGCACCGTCTCAATGCTCATTTGAGCAGGGAATCACTTTGACTTGCTAAAATAGATTGGTACTATGTTTTAACATGTTAATGAGAGTTGTGAGCCGGTGGCGTCTCCGTGGAATTCCGAGGGCTGAGGTCGTACAGCTGATGAAGCTTTTTGTCTTCCCTCCCCAATTGATAGCAATGGGACCTTTCCCCATATGAAACAGTCAGCACTTAATGAAATTATACACGTAATTCTGTCAACGCAATAATTACGGTATCAGCTGTATTGAATGCACAATTTTTTTTACCAACGTCTTGCAGTAATCTAAATGCTTAGTAAAACATGCATAGAGCAATTACACTTTGGAAGGACTAGTGGTGGTGCGGTAAATTGCAATTCTGCTCTGTGAACCAACCTGACTGAGTCTGATTCCCAATAAGGCTATCATCATTGGCGAAACATACCAATTTGAAAGGCACTTTATAAAACTGAGTTTTTATTTTTATTATTATATTTGAAGCAGTTCTGGTCCCCTTCCCACCCCCTTCATCACTGACCAGTGTCGTGAAGTATGGGCAAACAACCCTCATAACAAACATGGAGTGGGGATGCGTTCATCCAGCAGTATGTAACCTATTTCAGCATAGACATTGCCAATGACAATATCACCCAGCAGGTCCATGATCCTGTCAGATCTTAGAAGCTAAGCAAATTTTAGCCTGCATAGTGCTTTGACAGGCCTTCATTGGGCCTCGGGCTTTGTGGTGGGTAAAAAATGTAACTGCTGCAGCATCATCCATTGTTTTACCATACTCTTTGGTTCTTTCGGTAAACTCACGTAGAAAGAACATAAATTAAATAATAGAATACGACGTTTCGATTGCAACGCAAGCAATCGTCATAAGGTAGAAAACAAACAGTGAACTTAGAAATACAATGCAATCCAACACAGAGAGTCGGCTAACTCAACAGTCAGCACCTTACCTGGTTGATTACGTTCTTCCAAAGATTGCTAAATTTGAGAGAGAGACAAAACACAGACACTGGGACACAGTAATTCCTGCAGTCACGAAAGCTTCAAATCAAGTTTGTTTTACTATACATATATGACCCAATGTCAATTGAACCCATCTTCACTAACTCGCACTGACTAGCGTGGTGGGATACGGTCAAATAACTCCCACTGAGTCTAATGAGACTTTTTTTTCGAAGGGTCCTGTCAGGTTTTTGCAATAGGGGGTCATGATTGCTATATGTGATGCCAAATAACTAAATTGCAGGTCATTTTTCGAAATTGCCAAATTTGGACCACGACGCCAGCACACAATGGCCTACTCTACAAACGGCAACATGGGATATTTGAAGTCCACTGTCAAACAGACTGCTTGCAGTATCAGAACATTTATTTCTACTGGAGAAATCCGATAAGCTGTGAAGCTCTTTTTCACAGATGTCCCACTAGAGTTGTAATGGTTTAATAGACCTCCAGTATTAACCAGGACGGCTGCTTGAACGTGTTACCGTGGGGCAATGTTACTGCCAAAGGTCATTAAATGATATGTTCTGCCTTTGGCCAACACCCACTTCCAATCAATGTTGGATAGATGTTCTTATTGAAGGAATGTCTTCACTTAAGGGTCTCTAGGGTTATTATTGCGAGACAAACCTAATTTTCTCCAATCAGATTCAACGGGATCTTCATAGTCGTCAGCAGTGCTTCGTTTTGATTTATAATTTGCTAAATAGATACACATTGAAAACAGCCTCTGGCTTTGTAGACAAGATTGGTCATTGTGTCGCTTGCTCTATATTTCAAGTGTTCACTAATGATATACAGTCCAATAATAGCCTATCTAAAAAAAAATCTAATTTTCAAGATGTCTGTGGTATAATCAGACAGTTAATTTAACACTTGTCAATTTAATTTAGTATATATTTAATATACATTCAGCGCTTCATACTACAAAGCTGTAATATCTGTATTTAAACGAATGTAGCATTTGCGGTGATGAACTGTGTGTGAGTAATTACATATTTTGCGTCGTCCTTAAATGTGGCATGGTTTTCCATTGAAACACCACAGGTTTAGAAAAAAAATATACACCTATCACGATTAAACTGTGAATATTGTGCAGTAATATCGAGGGAAATATCATGAATGACAGCACAGACAACTCTTTGCTTGTTGAGGCTCATTGAGTGCACAGGGCTTTGATGAGCGCAAGATGGACAGCGTGCTTGGGTTTGTGATTTTAACGTGTTGAAATTGTCCTTTGTTAACGTTATTTTTTAAAATGTCTCATCCGTTTCTTCTACCATGTTATTGTGGGTTGTAAATTATAAATGTAATACCCTTTAAATTAGAAAACAAATGCACGTTTGTGATCTAAACGTATTGAGATATATAGTTACATAGGCTATAATGTATTTAGTCCTCTGAGATATATATTTGTTCACATTTTATTAGATTAGAACCTAATTCATATATAATGTTCGAATCAACATTATCTCGAACCGAAAAAGCTAAACGTGTCAGTTAAATCGGAGACGGTATGAATAGGATGATTAAATAGCGTTCATTGAAATGTCGAAAGGGAATGACTACATTTTCCTGATTATAAGATGCTCACGAAGGTAAGATGCACCCTAAACTTCGAGGGCATTTGTTGAGATGTGTTCGTTCATTGGGATTATGCTGCGTTGGAGAGCCGTTTTTCACAAAATATTGATGTCTTCTGAAAGATCATTCGCTCGGCTCTTCTCACAATCCGCGGCAGATCGCATTGGCGCGCGAGAGAGAAAGAACATCGTGGATTATAATTATTTGGATTATTGTATAATTATTTGATCAAACCTCTTGCGCCGTGCCGCGGATTACAGGGTCCGATAAACGCGGATTATTGGCGTTGGAGGCGGCGGCGTCTCGGTGAGGTCTTTGCTTTAACTATAATTGTTCAGACATTAAATAACGCGGCCCTACAAGTAAATTCACAAGCGCAGTCTATTTTTAAATCCTTTATATTAAGTTCGCTAGCTTGCTTGCGTGCTTGCTTGCTTACGACCGTGCAAATCTTTCGGTCGTTTTTTAATCCACTTCCCGTGATCCAATCGAGCTGACATTTTGCACACAGACTCGTTGTGCGAGACAATTAATGTTCGTGAAAAATTTTTTCCAAAATTTTACACTGTTTAGGGAAAACAAATTAAATATTTAATTACCAATTGCTTAATACTGGCAGACAATCATCTGACCCATAGGTGGCAGCCATCTCAAGCCAGAGGACGAGAGGACTCGAGCCGCCACGCATATAAAGGATTTATAGGGAAAAACTTTGTTTTTACGGGTTATACTTATTAACAGGCGACGTTTTGGGCAATTGCCCGTCTGCGTCGCAGAGGTTTTCGTCACAGCTAAACCTGACCGATGACGTCACCGAGCATAACCTGTTTCCCTCCCTGCACGATGACGTCATTAAATTGTAATGACATCACTGTGCAGCAACTCGTATAGCGCTGACACTGGTGACGTCACAATTCACAATGCGATGACGTCATTGAGAGCGGGGGGGGGGGGGATGGGTGGGATGACGTGGCAATCGTTTACGCGGCGTGATTTGTTGAGGCGCGCGTTGTGTAACCGGTGACGTCAATCGGCACGTGACGTTGAGGGGGGTGCGGCGCGCGGGGGGGGGGGAAATCCCGGGCCGACTGGAGTCGCGACGCGACAGGGTTGAACATCGAGCAGCAACAACAACACTCGCAAATAACAACGTAACAATGTTGGACTTTTTCACGATATTCAGTAAAGGCGGCATCGTTTTATGGTGCTTTCAAGGCGTGAACGGCTGCTTCACGGAGCCCGTCAACGCTCTCATACGGAGCGTTATACTGCAGGTGAGAGGAGGCCCCGGTGAAGCCACGGTCTCGCCTGAGCGGCCTACCCGGCACCTACCTCCCTGTGTCGGGCCGCCCCGGCCAGCCAGCCACCCCCCCCCCCATCCCCTTTGGTCGAGGCCCCCATGGCCTATGGAGTGACGTGGACTTAAAATGACGTGGGTGATGTCGGCGATCACGGCAGTGCTTGTTTCAGTTTTTGTTTTTAAAATTGCATTTAACATTCTCGCACGTTCTATGGTACGTGAGGTACGTCTTTCAAGAAGACGAAAATACAGGCGATTGTGAAGGAAATTGGCAAGGAACTGATGTTGTATTTTAACATCGAGGTCTTGATTGGAAAGAGGCTTAGGTCTCATTTGGATGTCGCCCTTTTTCAGTGGACTCTGTCCGGTTCTTATTTCGTTTTTAAACTAATCATTCAGGAGTATAAATGGCCAAATGTTGGAAAGAGTCCTCCTTTAAAACATGCCTTGAGACTCATTGGGGCTTTCCTTGGTGATTATGCAAAGTTTCGACATAAAATAAGTAAATAACACTGATAACACGAGGCTATATGCTTTATTGAGCGTTCTCCAGCAACCTGTGCGATTAAATTGATAACAAATAAACTGGTTTCGATGTATTTTAAACAACTAGTTTTTGGCCTCTTAAATATCCATGGGTTGTTATGATGGAAAGAAATACACAATTAAATAAAACAAGTCGTTGTGCACATTTACCAATATGGTCACGTCCGCGTCGGACTGTCCGACACGCATTTAAAGCGTTGTCGATAAGAAAAAAAATCCCACTAAACTCTAGGTTCCGTCGCTCGTTAAAAATATACAGAAACGTTATGACATCTATAACAGTGATGGTAATCTTTTAACAAAACGTCATACCTGTTAGCCAGCAACCCACAGCCAAGGTGCGTGCGTACTGTCAAACGTGTTAAAGCTATTATTTGTTGTTGAGATGTTTTTTTCCTTCAAAACTTAATTAATTCATGTGTTGAAATAAAATAAGCCTAAGGTAGTTTGTGTTCTCGTTGCCCAGTGGAGGAGCTCAGTTTCCCGGGAAGCTGTTTAAACATTCATAACATGACAGGCCTTTCGGGTTCACTTAATCCTTTGACTTTTTCCCTTCCGTAGGAAAAGGGCAGCAATAACTCCTTTAGTCATGAAGCCCTGATGCTAAAGTACAAGTTGGACAATGAGTTCGAACTTGTCTTCGTGGTAAGTACATGCTTCGCTTTTATTATACGAATTGGTATGGAGTGCTTTTGTGTATTAAAACACGCTACAATCGGTTTGTAAAAGAGTTCGGTCGAGAACATTTTAAGGTGTTTTAATATACACGCGAATAAAAATAAATAAAACTTTAAAGAAAACTGATTTGGCGACGATAGGTGAAACATATGTTCCAGAGAAACAGGTAGGTACAATTTTAAATATCGACAAAGGAATGTATATAACATGTGTGATTATTGGTCCATATGGCAGCAGCAGCAGAAAAGCACATATTCAAGGTGTAGAATTAATGTGAGAAAATACAGTAAAATGTTATCTAAAAGACCTTGGTAACAATAGGATTAACAATTGCATATGCTCCAGAGAGTTGGAGAAATATTAAGCCAATAATTCCTAACCTTTCTAGACCTGTGAACCACCATTTGGTAAAAGTATTTTTTTTTAATTGTATGTGCAAGAGTTCGGCCTTCCAGACCACAGGTTTGGAACCAGTGGACTACGTGATCTAAATCAGCCTGGACTGCTGTCAATTAGAAGCTCGTTCCATATGGCATCAGCAGAGAAGCAGGAACTTTTTACAATATGGCAGGTTGAGAAAGAAATAGATTTTGGGAAAATAAAATTAAAATTCAATGAGATTAAAACAAATAGCACATTGCTGAAAGGCAAAAAGATGTTTTGCAGGTTATTTGTAACGGTTAAAATACCAAAGAGGAACCTATTCATTCATGATGACCTGAACTTGACCTGAAACTATATAATTTCTGTGAAAAAAAGGTTGTCAGGATGGGGTTACGGATTAACCGTGCTTGTAAAATAAATATATATCATCACATGTGCTATGGTTTCATTACTAGCTGCGCCTCATCGAGGGCCTGTTTTTAGTGCCCAGATGACCATAAACATGTCAGCAAGTAAACCGATTTGTTTTGGAAATAATGACATTACACATTGTGTCTTTATACACCATACCTCAGTTTAACACGTAGGCTTTCGCGACCAATATTATTCATAATTAACGTTTTTGGATTGATCGCGTTATTTATAAATGTGTCGTGACCCTCCACCACCCAACATGGCCAATCAGCAAAAAAAGTGTCACGTTGACAAAAGACAAATAGGTCACTGCTTTAGCCCACCAGTGTGTTGAAGAGTGAATCCACAACATTTACAATTTTGGCGAATTGCCAGATGGGGCATGGATGTAATTACCAGCGAAACGTCGTACTCAAAAATTGTAAATGTTGTGGATTCACTCTTCAACACACCTGTGGGCTAAAGTAGTGAACTATGTGTCTTTTGTCAACGTGACACTTTTTTGCTGATTGGCCGTGTCGGGTGGTGGAGGGTTACGACACATTTCTAAATAACGCGATCTAGCCCAAAAACGTTTATTATGAATGCACCATACCTGTCAACCCTTTATCAATGCCTACCTTATTACAGACCAATTCAGACCTTATTGGTCACCCTTTACCCTTATAAATCTCAACTTTCATCCTGCAAAGCTCCATCACAAGGCAGAAATGCAAACAATTAGACAAAAACAGTTTTGCTCGTATTGAAACGGCCGTACACCGTATGGACCAGAAAACTCAATTTCTCTGTACAAGAATACGGGTTAGTCGTATGGGTTGATACATATGTTTAACACAATGTGTACTTAAAGAATACATACATATTTATAGGTTAATTTAAAACTTTTCATGATCCATGTTTTGGTTTTTACCCAGGCCAACACTCCCCCCCCCCCCCATTATTTTGGACAATCAGGAGTTGAATAATGGACTATATTGTTGGGGTGACGTAGTGGTCCTTGCACTAAACCATGAACCTAACTATTTGTGTTTCATTTTGGGTCACAGCTCACACCAGAATTTGGTGATACCTGAACCGATCCTAGGCTCCCCCCTTGAGCAACAAGCACCATTATGGTGAAGTATGGTTAAAAAAAAATCCATGACTGACAGCATGGGACCGTGGTTTGACAAAGGACTATATACGCATTGTTAGGGAGCACGGAGCCGCAGGACAGACCTAGGGTCAATTGTAATTGTGTCAAGTGTAACACATTGAAATCACAATGTAATTATTGTGATTTCAACTAATATTGTTGCTCTAATTGTTCATAATTGACCCCAGGTCTAGCACCGATATGTTCTGTTTTCAGATTTTCGTTTTTTTGACTTCCATAGGTGGGTTACCAGAAGATCCTCACCCTCACGTACGTTGATAAGTTTGTGGATGATATCCACAAGGAGTTTCGGGACAAATACCGCAATGAGCTGCAACAGAAAGGCGTGCTGGGGCTCATAAATGGCTCATTTGAGTTCTCTGCTGATTTTCAGAGAATGCTTTGGTAAGTACAGCTGCTCTGTTGGACAATTTTAAATGTAGGCGTTAAGTGTATTCAATTACATTATTTAATCGTACTCTACTGTAACATTGGGTTATTAATATTGTTAAAATATTTTCTAACTTTTATATCATCTCTAAAGCTTAACAGGAGTATAATTTGAATAGTATATTAATGAGTACATACTACGGCCAATGAAAACAATGTATGCATTCAACATGTTTACAGAAACATGTCTAGAGGCATATAAATTAAGTATTTTTTTTTGCTTAAAATACACACGACAGTTTTCAAAGTAGAGAATATACGACCAAAGCACACATGCATGACAGAATGTCACTATTAGGATGGGATATTTTTTGCCATCCTTGATCCCATTAATGGATTGCTATGTAGGCCATCACTTCAGTACAATGATCACAGTGAATCAGGATAAGTTCGTATTGTTACACTTTTTTGTATTCATGGCATAGTTTTAAGGCTTTCTAAAATGTAGGTTTTCTATCATTTCTGGGAAATTAGAATTTCTGGAACATTATACATATGATAACACTATCCATATAAAAATCTTAGCTGACCATAAAAGGGTAAGCATTGCAGTGGAGTGATAATTTGTCAAAAATATAATTTGACATTGTAAATATAAAAAACAATGTTCAATTTAAGCAATTACTTTATGGGCTTAGCAGTCGTTGAGCTGATGCACACGTGGTTGGATTTCATTGTTTGATGTTTCACGTGAATAATTACTCCTGTTACATTAACAATATGCACTCGTCTGTAAACATTTTGACATACTAGCAGATGAAATGGACTTATATGTATGTAATGGTGTCCTTTAGAAATAAATTCATTGAGTTTTTTATGCATAATGTTCAGTGTTACATAACAAAAAAAATCGTGTCGCTGAATAGATTCAGTGGTGTGAAAGCATAAATTTTAGTTATGCTTTGGGTTTTATCTTGGAATACTTTTATGTACGTTTTCTTTAAAATTTTGTGGGGTTTTTTTTTCCTTCATTCTTCCCCTTATAATTTAAGGGAGGCCACAGAAACTAGTAAAATGAGTTTCCCAACTGTGATGAAGACATATGAACAGTCCCTAAAGTCTCAGAAGACGGTTAAGTCGATGATTCAAATTACTGGGGAGAAGGAGACCAAGAAAGGAAAAGCAGCCAAGAACGAAAGTAAGTGTGCTTGAGAAGAAAGTATTTTACTGCGAGGGTAGTGTTTCATATCATCCTTTGTACCGTACCCTTGTGCAATGTCCTTAGCACATACACTATCTTAATTTAAAAATTTAAATTTCCATATAAATTGCCACAGATGTGAGCAGGCGACTAATTCCCAATGCCTCGTTACCACTCTAAATGTTACATTTGCAATTGGTATGTTAGTTTGTCTTTAATAGGGACTGACCAGGGACACATTTAATTAAAACTAAATTTTTCAGTGCCTAACTGCTGCATATTGAGGTGCTTGTTAAAAGCATGCCTATGGCGTGCCAATGAATGCAGGACACATGAGAGAATGGTTTATGGGAATTAAAAAATATATACATAATTAAATACCTAAATATCTCCCCTTTGTTTTAGTACAGAGAATTTAGTTATAGCGATTATACTCTACAACGGATTCTCATTTATATACAGTTAATACAAATAATGTGATAACCTATTTAATGTTTGTTTAAATGGAATGTTTATAGACAAATAAATTGTAGACATTAATATATTAATTGTTCACATTCTTTGCTGTAGATGGAAAAGAATCGCAGATCTTGAAGTCTCCTGTTCCTGAATCCACGCCCAAGGTTTCTGCAAATGGCGATCGCAGCTCCAATGGGATAATATTTGAGGAGAACATTCTTAAAAAACCAGAGGAACTTTTCAGAAAACAGGCAAACAAAAAGAAAATTACCAAAAAGACGTGAGTGTGTGTTTGTGAAATACATGTTTTTTTTTTATGTTAGCAGTGTTCATTACCATTTATTTTTATATTAGACTAGCTGTACTACCCGGCTTCGCCCGGGACTTGTATCCACCACGGCCGGCCGCCTTTGTCTCCCCAGTGGCGATGTTAATACGCCACACCAGTTACTCGTTTGAGGCTGAGTCGACCTATGTGAGGTTCAAATAATCTTGATCGGTGGTGGCCATGAGCGGGAATCTAACTCGGTTCGCCGGGTTGGTAGCGCAGCGTAGCGTTAACCACTACACCCACCGCTCCTCACACACACAGACGCACACACACACAGACACACGCAGACACACACAGACAGACACAGACAGACACAAAGACAGCACGCTAACCACTACACTACCGCTCCCCACACACCACACACGCAGACACACACACAGAACACACACACAGACAGACACACACACACAGACACACAGACAGCACGCTAACCACTACACTACCGCTCCCCACACACCACACACGCACACACACAGACACACACACAGACACACACACAGACACACACACACAGACACACACACACAGACACACACACACACAGACACACACAGGCAGCACGCTAAGCACTACACTACCGTTCCTCCTACACACCACGCACGCACACACACAGACACACACACACAGACACACACACACAGACACACACACAGACACACACACACAGACACACACACACACACATAGACACAGGCAGTACGCTAAGCACTACACTACCGTTCCCCCTACACAACACACGCGCGCGCGTCCATAGGTACACATACACGCGCTTGCTGCAGACACACACATACACACACATACATAACCGCACATACACACAAACACATACACACACATGCATACACACAAACATACACATACATACAAACACACACATACATACACACAAACACATACACAATACACACACACATACATACAGACACACACATACATACACACAAACACATACAGACACATACATACACACATACATACAGACACACAGACATACACATAAACACATACACACATAGTCATGACCCGGCTTTGCCCGGGACTTGTATCCACCACGCCCGGCCGCCTTTGTCTCCCCAGTGGCGATGTTAATACGCCACACCAGTTACTCGTTTTGAGGCTGAGTCCCTCCCTCGCCACTCTGCCTCCCTCGCCACTCTGCCTCCCTCGCCACTCTGCCTCCCTCGCCACTCTGTAGAGGACGTGAAATTTGTATGAATTTACCTCAGAGTGGCGTGTTGGGTGTCGAGGCCTAGCACCGTGCAGAGCCTCCCGCCTTGCCTGATTTTCGCACCCGGCGAACGCTGGGTACGGGTGCCGGTCCCCCCCCCCCCCCGCGCTATTAAAAATGGCGTCCACCCCGCGGAGAAAAGTTGCTACTCGTTGCCAGGGGCAACCGCCGTCCAATGAAAGCGGCGAAGGCGTGGCTAGCCGTTGCCAGGGGCAACCGCCGTCCAATGAAAGTGCAGTCCACACAGACACACAGACATGAACGATTTTATATATATAGATTGTTTTGTATTGTGGAATATTTAGCACTTAAATTTAAAGTTATTAGTGAGAGAATCTGAAGCCAATTTTCCATTAGCCTTAAGCTAACTGTATAGGTTTTAAAATGGGGCCTTGGTTTCTCACACTTGATGGTGACCAGGAAAGCTCCAAAGCCAACAAAAACGGACCGTGTGTGGGATTTCAATGACAAGCCTGTGAAAGGATTATCCTACGGTCCAACAGAAAACACCGGCACAGAAGACATCTCTACACCAGAGTCTGTGAGTTCTGCAAATTTCAAAATCCTTACCAACAAACACGTCATATTGTAAACCTGAACCCACAATACCTTGCTAATCTCATCATCACGTGAACTTTGACTAGCCATTGAACAAAGATGGTCACTGAATCGTGCACTTTTAGGTGCATGTCTGCAGCTGTCTGGCAGGCTCTTCTGATGCTAGGAAGCCACTGGTGCTGTGCACTTTTAAATCATCTAGATTTAAATCTAATTTTTTTTAAACTGATTTTTGTTTAGTTTGTTGTTCTTACCCCGTACCTCTGATTAGCACGTTTGGCAACATACATTGCAAAATAAGTTTAACATACATACAAACCTGAATATTATTTTATATTGGTTGTCATTGTGCGTTATGGAGAGGAAAAACTAAGTCATGATATACTGCTGTTGTAAAACTACAGACAGGTATATTTTTTATTTTTGTTGCATATTACAGTAGTAGGTGCAGGTTGCTTTTGATTTAATGTTGTGGCTTGTGTCCTGTGAACTACATGACCAGCGTGAAATGGTGGGAAGGAGAATAGGAGACCTGCCAAGTGTGGAGTATGAGAATATTGAAGAGGAAGAGGATAAAGTGGAAAAAGTGGAGAAAGTGGTAGTTAAGCAAAAATCTAACAAACAAAGGTATGCACATTTCTGACAAAAAATTTTTTTTCAAAGACAAATTTTTATGTCACATGTCTAGATTTGTTTTATGTATGCGAGTCCGTTCCCATATGCTCCTCCAGTGGCCGAGGTATAGGAGGAGTGTTTGGCATGCTCAAAGGCCTTGTGGGATCCAAGAGCCTGACCAGAGAAGACTTGGAGCCTGTGCTGGAGAAGATGAAGGATCATCTCATTGGTCAGAGTTTAAAACAGGACCTATTCAGAACATTACAGTGATCCATCGTTTATCGCGGTTAATGGGGACCGGAACCCCTCGCGATAGGTGAAAATCCGCGAAGTAGGATTGGCCCCCTATGAATTTCTGTTTATGTGTGTGTGGGTACCAGAATGTTTAAAATATGTATATTTATACTTTATATATATTTTACTTAAATCTATTTAATTATAAAACCTTAATATTATACATTCACTTTCTCTCTCTCTCTCATACGATATGTATAATGGTGTTCTACACTCACAAATCACAGTAGTATCTTGAGACTTGACTCCAGTAATGATGACGATGACGATGACAATGACGATGATGACAGACCTGTGCAGTTCGATGAATGTGATGATGAATGATGATGATGATGGTGTTACTGCACAGGTATAATGAGGCCTTTAAATCAGTTCGAAAAATCCGCGATGCACTAAGGCCGCGAAGCTTGAACCGCGAAGTGGCGAGGGATTACTGTAATTGCATTTAGTTTCCTAATATGTTGCCACATGCAAGAATACAATTGCATAATATTAAGATCAGAGTTTCATTTTTACATTTTCTCTTTGTTTCCCCACCACCTCAGCCAAAAATGTTGCCGCAGAAATTTCATCGCAGCTGTGTGAATCTGTGGCAAATAAGCTCGAGGGAAAAGTTCTGGGAACTTTCAAAAGTAAGTACACATTGTTATGCAGTGGAATAAATGTTTACTTCATTCCGGATTATCACATTATACATTAATTATGAGGATATTGGCATCCTGAGGGAATTGCTTCTTGGCAACTAACATCTATATTATTGATGATGGCAATATGCCGGCCTGAGCAGTAGTAATGTGTGTGTGTCCACTATTCTACTAAAAGACACCTTACATTCTCATAAGATGTAAGCATACGATGCAATACTTTGGAAATGCGGTCCAGTAGCTATAAAGGTAGTGATTGATATCACCTTGTATTCACAATACATTGCTAACGTTTTCAGTTTAACTCTTACTCCGGTGTAGTTGCAAGTGTAAATTACATCTGCATGTGTCCTTTGAGAAAACATTAGATGCCATACAGAGATGAGTCCTGCTCAGCACTTGTTTGCTTTATTTCTGTGTTCTGTGCTACATTATTTAACGACATATTCTTGGTGTCCCCTCTTTCATTTAGCGGTCACGTCGACCGTGAAGCAGGCTCTGCAAGACTCACTCTTGAAAATCCTGCAACCAAAGCGTCACGTTAACATTCTGCGTGACGTGATTGAAGCGAAAAAGAAGAAGCAGCCCTACGTCATCACCTTTTGTGGTGTCAATGGTGTCGGCAAGTCAACCAACCTTGCCAAGGTGAACTACAACTTTGTGCAGAAACACACCACACTTTAATAGTAGGTTTTTACCCTTTTAACTGGTACAAAACTGACACCTTTATTCAAGGCATCATGTTTGCAATGACCACAACACAAGTAGTCAAAAAAGCAAACAAAAAGAAGCAACTCTGATAAGGATGATAATATGCACTGTCCTTGAAGTTGATTGGCCCACACCCGAGACGGCTTTCTTTAGAGCCTAGTCCCCATTGGTGTAGGGCCAGATGACACCAGAAGGCGTACAACTCAAACACAGTGCAATATCAGAGTATTGAGAGCTCGGGTTAAGCATTTACACTATGAGATCTCTTTTACCAGTGGCAAAATATAATAGTAGGTTTTTACCCTTTTAACTGGTACAAAACTGACACCTTTATTCAAGGCATCATGTTTGCAATGACCACAACACAAGTAGTCAAAAAAGCAAACAAAAAGAAGCAACTCTGATAAGGATGATAATATGCACTGTCCTTGAAGTTGATTGGCCCACACCCGAGACGGCTTTCTTTAGAGCCTAGTCCCCATTGGTGTAGGGCCAGATGACACCAGAAGGCGTACAACTCAAACACAGTGCAATATCAGAGTATTGAGAGCTCGGGTTAAGCATTTACACTATGAGATCTCTTTTACCAGTGGCAAAATATAATAGTAGGTTTTTACCCTTTTAACTGGTACAAAACTGACACCTTTATTCAAGGCATCATGTTTGCAATGACCACAACACAAGTAGTCAAAAAAGCAAACAAAAAGAAGCAACTCTGATAAGGATGATAATATGCACTGTCCTTGAAGTTGATTGATATTGCACTGTGTTTGAGTTGTACGCCTTCTGGTGTCATCTGGCCCTACACCAATGGGGACTAGGCTCTAAAGAAAGCCGTCTCGGGTGTGGGCCAATCAACTTCAAGGACAGTGCATATTATCATCCTTATCAGAGTTGCTTCTTTTTGTTTGCTTTTTTGACTACTTGTGTTGTGGTCATTGCAAACATGATGCCTTGAATAAAGGTGTCAGTTTTGTACCAGTTAAAAGGGTAAAAACCTACTATTATATTTTGCCACTGGTAAAAGAGATCTCATAGTGTAAATGCTTAACCCGAGCTCTCAATACTCTGATATTGCACTGTGTTTGAGTTGTACGCCTTCTGGTGTCATCTGGCCCTACACCAATGGGGACTAGGCTCTAAAGAAAGCCGTCTCGGGTGTGGGCCAATCAACTTCAAGGACAGTGCATATTATCATCCTTATCAGAGTTGCTTCTTTTTGTTTGCTTTTTTGACTACTTGTGTTGTGGTCATTGCAAACATGATGCCTTGAATAAAGGTGTCAGTTTTGTACCAGTTAAAAGGGTAAAAACCTACTATTATATTTTGCCACTGGTAAAAGAGATCTCATAGTGTAAATGCTTAACCCGAGCTCTCAATACTCTGATATTGCACTGTGTTTGAGTTGTACGCCTTCTGGTGTCATCTGGCCCTACACCAATGGGGACTAGGCTCTAAAGAAAGCCGTCTCGGGTGTGGGCCAATCAACTTCAAGGACAGTGCATATTATCATCCTTATCAGAGTTGCTTCTTTTTGTTTGCTTTTTTGACTACTTGTGTTGTGGTCATTGCAAACATGATGCCTTGAATAAAGGTGTCAGTTTTGTACCAGTTAAAAGGGTAAAAACCTACTATTATATTTTGCCACTGGTAAAAGAGATCTCATAGTGTAAATGCTTAACCCGAGCTCTCAATACTCTGATATTGCACTGTGTTTGAGTTGTACGCCTTCTGGTGTCATCTGGCCCTACACCAATGGGGACTAGGCTCTAAAGAAAGCCGTCTCGGGTGTGGGCCAATCAACTTCAAGGACAGTGCATATTATCATCCTTATCAGAGTTGCTTCTTTTTGTTTGCTTTTTTGACTACTTGTGTTGTGGTCATTGCAAACATGATGCCTTGAATAAAGGTGTCAGTTTTGTACCAGTTAAAAGGGTAAAAACCTACTATTATATTTTGCCACTGGTAAAAGAGATCTCATAGTGTAAATGCTTAACCCGAGCTCTCAATACTCTGATATTGCACTGTGTTTGAGTTGTACGCCTTCTGGTGTCATCTGGCCCTACACCAATGGGGACTAGGCTCTAAAGAAAGCCGTCTCGGGTGTGGGCCAATCAACTTCAAGGACAGTGCATATTATCATCCTTATCAGAGTTGCTTCTTTTTGTTTGCTTTTTTGACTACTTGTGTTGTGGTCATTGCAAACATGATGCCTTGAATAAAGGTGTCAGTTTTGTACCAGTTAAAAGGGTAAAAACCTACTATTATATTTTGCCACTGGTAAAAGAGATCTCATAGTGTAAATGCTTAACCCGAGCTCTCAATACTCTGATATTGCACTGTGTTTGAGTTGTACGCCTTCTGGTGTCATCTGGCCCTACACCAATGGGGACTAGGCTCTAAAGAAAGCCGTCTCGGGTGTGGGCCAAACAACTTCAAGGACAGTGCATATTATCATCCTTATCAGAGTTGCTTCTTTTTGTTTGCTTTTTTTGACTACTTGTGTTGTGGTCATTGCAAACATGATGCCTTGAATAAAGGTGTCAGTTTTGTACCAGTTAAAAGGGTAAAAACCTACTATTATATTTTGCCACTGGTAAAAGAGATCTCATAGTGTAAACACCACACTTTATCCACTTGCGTGCCTATATGGCATGCCCTACGTGAGAATTTGTTTTAGTAGCTTTTTCTCTCTCACCTGAAGACGGTCGCTTGTGTTGCGATCGAAACGTCGTGATCTATTATTTTTTCTACCTACGTGACTTTACCGAAAGAACCAAAGAGTATGCGTAATTCTTTTTACAAATATAGTGTCAAAGTATTGTATTTACAATGAAGGCCACCATAATTATCGCGTAGTGTAATTGTTTTTTTGTAATCTGTTACAAAAAAACGCATCGATTTAGCATTTCGTGCTCACGTTTAGTTTTTTCATTATCGCCCCTGCAGACTTGTTTCTGGCTGATCGAGAACGAATTCAGCGTACTGGTGGCCGCCTGTGACACCTTCCGAGCGGGCGCTGTGGAGCAACTGCGTACGCACACACGCCACCTCAGTGCGCTCCACCCTCCCGAGAACCACGGGGGTCGACCCATGGTTCAGCTATTTGAGCGCGGCTACGGGAAGGATGCCGCCGGCATCGCCATGGAAGCCAAGCAATTTGGTGAGGCCCAGCAGCAGTGATGTCGCCGCAAAGGATGCACCATTGCTGTTCATGTGAACAAGTTGTTGTCGCTCGTTGACAAAGCTGGCCTATCCACCTGCTGTGTCTGTAGTGGGATATGGTCATTTCTACATGCCATGCACATGTTTGATAATTGCATTAAATAAGGTACTTATAAAATAATTAAGTTATTTTCCGTTGAATTCACATAGTACATTTTTCAACTCATCAGTGCTTAGACGCATTCCTCTGCGTCTACGTTTATTATTGCACTGTAATTTTTTGACTTTCTCGATAGGTGGTGGTGTAGCAGCTGATGTCATCAGTTAACCATGGTGATGATGATCTGCTTACAGCATCTTGGTCATACGGTTATTTTTGGTCAATTGCTCATGCTTATAAGCACAGTCACATCTTTTTCACAATGTAGTTATTCAATAATGTGAGTGTTCATATGGCGTTTTGGCCGTTTTTCATGTAATTTTAAAACCATTTAAATGTGCTTAATTGGATGAAAACTTTTATTAATTTGAATTGTTTTCCTACAGATATGCTTTTAACCAGTTGAGAATCATGTACAGTAAAACCTTGGATTGCGAGTAACTTGGTCTGCGAGTGTTTTGCAAGACGAGCAAATTTTTTAAATAAATATTAATTTGATAAACGAGCGAAGTCTTGCAATACGAGTAGTACGTGTATACGCTTTGTCTGCCGAGCGTCACGTGATCACAACTAATATACGAGTGCTTTGATATATGAGTGCTTTGGATTACAAACATATTTCCGGAACGAATTATGCTCGCAATCCAAGCTTTTACTGTATATGCTTCCCAGTCTCCTTAATCGACACCCTTATTTACATATATATTGCATTAAGTGGAAGCTCCTGCCAACTTGCAGCGTGCAAAATCCTCATTGCCAGCACATGTCGTTTTTACAATATTACGATTTTAAAATTACAGTTTTTTTTTTTGCTACGGCAAAGCAAGGGGACTTTTTCCACACAGCGCCATATGGTGGTGGCGCATGGGAAGCGCGATTAGCACTAGTCGAGCAGAAACCCAACAGAGTGCACGCGCTGAAGACCACATCAATAACAATACGACTATCTTACGTATAAATTTCGATTTAAAGCTTTCGTGACTGCAGGGATTCATCTTCTTGGTTCTTTCGGTAAAGTCACGTAGAAGAGAAGTAATAAAATAATAAAAATAAAACATAATAAATCTTACGTATGTTTAACTTCTTTCACACCGTACGTAGCCAACTGTGCTAATCTGAGGTGCAAAGCAATACTTAGCTCAATAAAACTTTTTAAAAATGTAAACACATTTTATTTAATAACTGTGGTTTGCTAAAACGGTCTCTGTCGTACCATACTCTTTAGGATTCTTATACTGAAATGTAATTCCCAAAAGGTCCAAGAGCCTAAATAAAATAACATTTTGAAGATTTGAAGAACAGCTGAAAAATGCCCTCAGCTGTCCTCTGGTGGCTTGCTTGTTTAATTCAGTGTTTAAAAGTGTTACTATTATATCTGAACTTGATATCGTGAAGCCTTTTTCTTCTTCTTAAGCTATGCCCTCAGAGGAGCAGATAATATGGGACTGTGACCAAGAAGTCTCACAGACCTTTGTCTAATGCCCATCAAATATCTTACACAGCCATTAAAATACACAATTTAATAGTGCAGTTGAGTCCGTGTTGGTCGCTCCATAGCTGTATTTTGAGTAAATTAATATTTCTGATTCAAATATATTTTAATGTTATCCAATGTTTTGCTGCGTGTTCATTTGGTCGATAAAAGTGTAGCCCTGCATTTGTTTGCTCATACCGCTACTGGCATAATGGCCTCGACTAGAGGGGTGCTCTAGAAAGTTCTAGATGGTATTTTAACCTACTGATCCATGCTGGTCAGATGTCTTGGAAGAGGTAAGAGTATCGACACATTACTCCACAAGTACGTGACCTACAGATCGACTAACTTACACAGCTTGGTGGACAGTCATGGGGTATTTAAGAAATGTGCGCCATTGTTTCATTGGTTTGAAACCAGGCTGAATCTGTAACATTTGCTCAACTTGAGACATTTGTTTTTATAATACAATGACCTGGGATTGAAAGCCAACTTCTCAGTACTACTACTGGTTAACTATCCTTGAATAAAATATTGTTCTGAATCCCCGAAACTTTAATGATAATATACATGACATCTTAATGTTGTCTGTGTATTTTTATCCTCTGTGTATGTAGCCGCCACTCAAGGTGTGGACGTGGTGTTGGTGGACACTGCCGGCCGCATGCAGAACAACACTCCCCTGATGGTGGCCCTGGCCAAACTAATTGCTGTCAACATTCCTGATCTGGTGCTGTTTGTGGGGGAGGCCCTTGTCGGCAATGAGGCTGTGGATCAGCTGGTAATGAATGCATAGCTATGCTGCGCAGTGTACGTTTAAGTACAAGTAAAATAGTTTTGTCAGAAACGTTCCTTTGTTTACTGACTCATGTGTGAACGATTCTGTTATCCAGGTTAAGTTTAACCGGGCCTTGGCTGACAACTCGCACATGGAAAAGCCCCGACTGATTGATGGCATTGTTCTCACCAAATTTGATACCATTGATGATAAGGTAATTGATTTCCACTCACGCAAGTTATTTTATGTAATTAATAGTTATGTAATGGGTTCCGGAGACACTTTGTAGATGCAACTTCTTTATTACAATACACCACTCCAACAGTCCTGATACACTGTTACAGCCTAGGGACACAGCCTACTTATAGCATGCCTGACACTGGCTACGCTCTCGGGTCCTCCAGCTACAACTACCCTAGGGGAGGCTACCTGACCCAACCTAGCCAAGGTGCGGGTCTAGACTCTGGTTTCCTCGGACCTCTCCCTTACAAGGGCGTCGAGCCGGGAGTCCCAGAGTCCCACCACTGGCCCGCACAGCGTCCCAGCCCTGACGAGGACAAGCGGGGCGAGGGGGTCCAGGGTCCTAAGCTGGCTGGTCTTGGGTCTTGAGCTGTGACTCGTCCCGATCGGCTGGGGAGGTCCCCTTTTATGCCCCTTTTCCCATCCAGGGGTGGCGTTGCGTGGGATCATAGATCCCGCGCAGACCCCCGTTGGTGGCGCCGAGGGGATTAACTGTCTGGGGTCCCCATCGAGGGGTGGCGTTGTGTGGGATCATAGATCCCCCGCCGCCCCCCCCCCCCTTGGCGGTACGGGGTACCCTTGCAGATGGACCTCGTCTACCACTGCCAGTAAGCGTGGCCCATCTACGGCACTACAGTTAAATATAATAGTTTACAACGCTCTGTAAATCCACTGCTGGTTCAAAGCTTCACTATACCGTCATGGGGGATCCTTGACCATAGATCACACTAATCATTGAGTTGATTAAGAGGTGTGGGGCAATCTAGAACTGGTAATCGAAAGTAAGTTACAGGGTTCTTATCGCAGTGCACTAACAATAAATGCCATCCCCTCCATCCCCATCTTTGGTATTCAATGTCTTCAATTTGGTAACACGTTCTGTGTGAGATCGCATGCCACGGTGACGAGATGTTAATGACATCGCCTGATATACAGGAGGTTGTGGGTTTGATCCCGGCCCTGACGCCTGTATATTTGAAGTTGGCATGTTCTCCCCATGGTCGCATGGATTTTTCTCTGGGTCCTCAGGTTTCCCTCCATTCAGAAACATGCATTTAGAGTATTTGGCTGCTATAAATTTTGCACGTGGTAAGCCACTTCTTTTAGTGATCATTTGTGGCCAAGTCGCTTTTGTAAAAGAGCTATATAGCTCAGTGGCCCTTACCTGGTAAAATAAAAAAAAAACTTTTGTGTAATAGTTTTGTATATTGTATGTATAATACTTTGTCATGTTTGACATCTGTTTTGCCAGGTGGGGGCAGCGGTTTCCATGACCTACATCACAGGCCAACCCATCGTGTTTGTGGGCACCGGACAGACGTACTGTGACCTGCGCAGGCTTGACGTCGAGTCCGTGGTGCATGCCCTCATGAAACCATGAAATCAAACTTCTCGGACACGGGGTTTTTGTCTGCAATGGTGGCAACATGAAAGAAAAAAATAAGCGTACGCTGAAAAGTGAAGAAATTAACTGCGTTTGTTGATAAAATTACACAAAAAGCCCTGCGTTCAGAGATAGGTTTTCAAGTTTTGCGCTGGTAATAAACTTGTTAACCATTAAAAAAAGTACTTTATAATCATCAGCAATTTATATTTGTCAGCAAAACGTTTGAATGTTATTATGCTTATAAAGATTGCATTTTAATTCCTAAAATAGTAATTCCACCTTGATTAAATTGGACATTATGGATCATTTCTCATTTGGGTTGTGTTTAGTTTTCTTTAATGCACTTCAACTCGTGTAGTTGGTTTCTTTGACCCACCGCTATACGTTAACCGACGTGGACAGAAGCATGATTTTATTTTTCTGCTCACATGTTGTGCCAGTGAAAACTTGTTAAGAAAAATGGTTTTCTGTTGGCAGAAAAAATGAAATAAAAGAATCATGAACGAATTACCTTGTGTTGTCACTTATTAACAATTTTGCATTGTTTTCAGCTTAATGTAAAGATCAATAACAGTGCATAAGTCCTGATTATACATTACTTTGATTCTGTTTGGAAAAACACGTTTATTATAATGGCCAATTTATATTTTGAGTGTCAATCTTTTCAGGAGACTTGCCTTCTGTTTAGCATTGAAAGCCAATTCAATCGATTTGCTGTACTGCCATCAGGCCATCCCAGCAGAATTTGCAGTTTCACAAATTTTATTCACCAGTCAATCTGGATTACAGGGGTATGCCACCATACACGGCAGCTACACCGGCTCCAATTGTCATGAAAATAAATGTAGGTCCTCTGTGTTATAGGTTTTTGGGTTAGATAGCGTTATTTATAAATGTGTCGTAACCCTCCACCTTCCGACACGGCCAAACAGTAAAACGTGTCACGTTTACAAAGGACTTATTTAGCCGCCAGATATCTCACTTCTTTAGCTAAAGAAGTGAATTGTTTTGTCCTTTGTAAACGTGACGCATTTTTTACTGTTTGGCCGTGTCGGGTGGTGGAGGGTTACGACACATTTATAAATAACGCGATCTAACCCAAAAACCTATATGAATAATATTGGTCGCGAAAGCCTACGTGTTAAACTCTCTATGTACTAATGGTATATCAAAGCACGTCATCTGATGTAAAGTTAAAATGAGATCAGCTGGTGGTTTTACAGCTTTTTGATATCACTGCTAAAATGTCAGGCCCGAGCATTACATCAGCTCCTAAACTGAAGACATGGTGTGTTAATATAGCCACATTACAATGACAGGAGATGAGCAAACGAAGCTGATTTACTGGGACTTTGAACCGAGGTGTGGGGAGGCGGGGGGGCATTGAAATGAAACCGTTGAAGGAGACTTCACGATTCCAGGAAGAGACGCTACTTTAGGGGAGAGTGTGGATTTTTCCCATGACTCATTCCTGAGTCAGAGCACACTTGCAGAGAGCAGCAAGGGCGGAGCGGGTTATAGCCTTTATAAAGCCTCTCCGCCTCACTTCACTTCCTCTCACTGAGCCGGCCTCGATCTCTGGGATCTTTTGATCAAAACTTCACGGTTCAAAGATGTTTAATATATCGTGTTTAATAGATCATTCCTAAGCTAACGAAGCAGGTGGGTGCCTATCGATTTTTGTTCAGCAGCACGTGAGACTTTTGTTAAACGTGCTCGGATCTCAGGAATTCGTTTACTACAACTTTGTATTTGAATAACGATCGCCTAACATTTCGCTTTTAGCGGTAAACTTGTCCTGGTTGTGTGCAGCTGCTTGAGAAAGTTGACCACGATTCATATTCCGCGTTCTCTAAAAAATAATCGTAATATCATCTCGCGATGCTTTTATGTACAGTACGATAATGCAATTGTGGATTTCCGGTGATGTAAAATAAGCCCACTTAACCGGTGTGAGTGGCTTGTCTCGGGGTTGGGCAATGTGACACTGAGTGACTCGCTTCAACGTGGCAGTCCACTCGGCCAACATGCAAGCTGCCGCAACACTTTAATGGACTTTCAGAGGATTAGATTGCATATTAACTCAGAATACAAATCAGCAAAGTGCCTCTGCGTGTGTGTATTGATTAGAGCAATCCAAGTCCAACGTCATGATCATCTTAATGGTTAGCCCTATAGGTTTATCTTGAAAGTGTTTTATATATGTAAATGTATACAGAACTTTACTTGTATACATATGTATGTTTCTAACTTATACAATGTTGTATATAAGCGTAAATATCCGCCCAGCCACGTGAAAATGTGTTTGTCTTAAGTCTTCAGCATATGTGCTAACTAAATCTGTTACAATCAGTATCTGTTATAAGTAGCAAACTATATATGTACAATTGAAAGCTTTCGAGACTGCAGGGATTCATATTCTTGGTTCTTTCGGTAAAGAACCAAGAATATATATGTACAGTCAAATGTAAATAATAGTAAGACTATACCCTTATTTCACGCTTATAAGTAAATTAAAATACTGTATATCTGAATTGTATATTACGCGGTCAAATGTCTGTGTTTCATGCATTGAAGTGTACACACTACGTAACTATTCGCACAAATTGCAGGTAAGACCTAATTTTATTATTTCTTGGCTTTTCAGCTTGAACAGTTATACAAATTATATTATCATCTGAAGTTCCACATACACTTACTGCGCATACAACAATTTAAGGGAAATTCCAGCTGATGCGGTGTAACGGTCGTGCAGTGAGCGGTGGTGTCATCTGACGAGAAACGGGATGATTACTCAGAGGCACCGGCACGAAACGATAAAAAAAACTCTCTACAATACAATATTCGGCCAGGAGATGCCATGCGCGAGCTGCGTGGAGCTCCATGCTAGACATCAAACCTAACCCAGCCTTTGATCTGTAGCCGCGGGTGGCGGGACCGTCGTGGGTCTTGCATCTTTTCATTCATAGAACCTTGGTGGTGTTCACGAGTAAAGCAAAAGTGCTCGCGATCGAACAAAGACGGTCACTGCATCGCGCGCTTTCAGATGCGCTTCTGCGGCCGTCTGGAACGCGCTTCCTTCCGATATTAGGAAGCTATTGGAGCTAATAGGTTAGATTTGAAAACTCGTGTCTTTAGAACTGCTTTTGTGTTGATTTTGTTGTCCTTCCCCCGCACCTCTGATTAGCACGGTTAGCTACGTACGGTGCGAAAGAGGTTCAGCACACGTACAAAAGTGGAGAAATCTGAATAAGAACAAGTAAATCCAGGGACAAACGTCAGTTCGAGGACAATGATATTGACTTGTCAAGGAAGGCAAGTGAAGCTGGCCAGGAGATGGTCAGAACCGTGTGGGCAGCCGGCCAAACAGGACGGAATTAACACGCAGAAGAGGAGGTGACGGCCGCGATGGAGATGGAACGCAGGAGCGAGATGGATTGTGGCATCACGTGAGCCGCCGTGAGGTTTTGACGGCGATAGATAGCACTGCACGCGCGTTGATGATGTTGCAAATGACGACGCGGTGCGTTTGCGTTGAGCGCCTCGACTCAGGCGGTCGCGAACTCCACAACGTGGAGCCGGCGCGTCGTCTCTCTGTAGAAATGCTTCCAGTGACTGTGTCTGGAAAAGCCCTCGCGATGCCACGTTTGCTGGAAGCAAGTCTATATGGAGATGGAAGCGTGCGCAATTATCGCCAACTCACTACCTCGGGCGTCGCTTACCCTGCCTGCTTTGCCAAAGCCACTCGTCCCGTCACCGAGAAACGAACTCATTGCACCCGTATTCTCGGGACCCATTATATATAAGATGCACTTGTAACCCTTGTAGTGCGATTTAAAGGAGGACACGGTGAGTATGCGGGCAACGTGCCAGATTTTTATGCAGTTGTTACGTTGATTTTGTTTTGAAATGTGACAAAGGAGAGTTCAAGGTCGTCTTATTTGCAAGAGCGAACTGGGTCACCAAAATATTCTGGCGAGGTGGGTATGACGTGGATTTTGTTTTAATCTGTATGTGCGGAGCTTCTGGGTAAGGGTTTAATACAGGGTGCATCCGTTTCCTCTCCTGATGCTGCTACCATATCCTCCAGATCATAAGACGCTCCAGTAAGACAGCACGCCAAACTTTATAAGACATACCCCCAATTTTTGGTTTAAAATAGGGGTATAAGTGCGTCTCGTAATCCAGAGAACGTGGTAACAGCAGCAGCACATGGCAATATTATTTCGTAAAGCACTGTGGATATGTAATGTGTCAAATTATAATTTACGAAATGTGTTATTGGTAAAGTTTTTAAGTAAATTAAGTTTATCTGTAAAACGTGTTTTTTTTGTAATGGAATGCTTACATAATGTATTTCAAGACGTTCTAACTAATCTTGAACATGTAAGTTTGTGTTTGGTTCTGTATTGCTTTTTCCATTGAACCGGGTCCCATGTTTTATGTGCAGTGCTCTTGCCAATAATAGTCTGGAAATACAGCAGCTTATGTTTAACAAGTCTGATTGCTGATGAAATCCAGAAATTCGAATCTGGTCCAACATTTGCCTGTATAAACAAATACTGCTTTATAACATTAGTCTGGAATTAAGCCAATAAGCCAAAGGAGTAACATTTTTATTTGGAGACAAACACATTCCTGCGGAGGGAGCTGGTAGGAACGTTGGGTTGCTCGGTCAGTGGCCAGGGTCAACGGCGGCGTGGTGGATTCCGCAAATATGCCCGACTGTGAGGGCGGGCACAAGCCGGCGTGAGTAGGTTCAACGTTGAGTTGTATAATGGCACCACGGGGTGACCAGCCCCTCCCCACCCAGCCCCGCCCCACCCAGCCCCCACCCAGCCCCACCCTCCCCACCCAGCCCCTCCCCACCCTCCCCACCCAGCCCTTCCACACCCTCCCCACCCAGCCCCTCCCTGCACGACAGACGGACGGACACAATAATCCCCTGTGGGCTGGTGTAACCAGAGGTTCCTTCCAGGATAACGGAGCTCTGCTTATACAATACATACGTTTAGCCCATATATTTTACCCATAATGCTCCAATGGGAATTAATTTGAAGAAGATACACATCTCATCACTAATTTTCTGGAGGTTTTTCTTCGTGCCTCGAAAAATAAAAAAATAAACCGCAAAGATGCAACCCAAAACAATAATATATTGAAGTAGATACTCGCTTAGGATTTGAGAAAAGAAAGTTCAGGTGAACTTTCAGGAGGGATACAATTTTACTGTGACGTGTGTACATTTTGAATACATTAGCATTGTTGTGCCCAAAGCCTTAATGAAAATTGTATCAATTAACAAGGATTAGTATTATCCTCTTACACCAAGCTTCGGTGTGGAGTTATTAAAAATGTGTTTTTTATTGTATTTCTGAGCATGTATTAATAAAATAAAAAAAAACTGACTTGTGTCAGTCCACTCGATGCCGGTAGTCGAGGTTGTTTGACCATGTATGTATGTATGTCGAACTTCTTTCGCACCGTACTTCACACATGCTGGTCAG